AGGGTCGCTGCGTGGGCTCCCTGGGCAGCCTCAACCCACAGAACAGGATCGTGGTGTGTCCAGAGGCTGGAGGTCTGAGAGCAGGGTGGCCGCAGGGTCACGCTCCCTCTGGGGGCTGGAGCACAGGGTCCTGGCCGGTCTCTTCCAGCCTCTGGTGCTGCTGGTCGTCCTTGCGTCCCTTGGCAGTCACTCCACATCACCCCAGCCTCCGCCTCTGTGGTCACTTGGCCTTCTGGTTCTAAATTTCCCTCTTTTTATAAGGACCCTGGCCACGGGATTTTGGGCCCAGCCCAACCCAGTATGTCCTTGTCTTCCTTACATCCGCACAGACCTTATTTCCAAATACGAGCACATCACAGGTGCTGGGGCTAAGATTATATTGAGGGGGGGGGCTCCGTGCAAACCCTGTGATGGGGAGCCCTCTCTCTCCGCCAGGGTCAGGACCAGCCCAGAGGCCCAAAGCAGGGAAGGAGGGCCCCCGCCTCTCTCCTAACCTGCTCCCACACACTCAGGGGCTCAGCCACAGGGTGCGGAGAGTTCAGAGACGCACCCCTGCCGGCAGCCCTGGGGTCCTGCTCGCCACCACCTGTGACCCAGGGGGGCTGTTTCCTCCCAGGCACTCTGCGCCAGCTCCTCCGTCAACGTTCACGCCCCCCAACACTGACAGCTGAGACAGCAGGGACTGAGACGCCGAGCCACTCACTCTGGGTCCCCCAGCCCCAGTCAGACGCTGAGCCAGCTCGACTCAGGGAGACGCCCCCCCAGAGCCCCCCCAGTTTGGTGGCAGAGCCAGGCTCAGGGAGCTGGAGGGGTCAAACAGGCACCGCCCGACCAGGGCCGGAAGGGGTGGGGAGGGGACCAACCCCACAGGACCAGGCCGAGTTCTGAAAGCGGGTTTTATAGGAAAGCACTGCGTGGGGGTCGGGCACCCGCGGGGCTTGCTCTCTCCAGGGGTGTCCTGCCCCTCTGCTCCACCCCACCCCCAACCCAGGCTGGGCCTTGTGGGTGCAGAACCCAGGATGGCCTCTGGAGGGCAGCAGCTCCCCACCGTTCGCAGGAGCGGCCCAGAAGCTCTCCCGCACGCAGCGAGTCCAGGACCCAGGCCTCCGCCCACAGGCTTAGCCATGAGCCCCGCAGCCCCCACAACACACACTCACAGGTTGCGCTGACCGCCCTACAGGGCACCTTCCTGTGGCCAAGGTGAGCCCTGCCCAGGTGGCCACTGCACAGGGGCGTGTGCTACCTGACTCCCTGTTGCAGGGTGGACGCAGGGGACTGAGGGCACTGAGAGCAAGGATCAGGTAGGCCATGGGCGTGCTGGGCAGGACCCCTCTTTCAACCACAACACCCAAGAAAATGCCAGCCCGGCCCCGCAAGGCTGTGACCCCTCCTTGCTGGCACAGAGCTGGAAACCAAAACAGCCGCCAGCCTGGAGAGGTAGGTGCGGGGGGAGGAGGGGAGGTGAGACAGACCCCAGGCTACACGGTGCCCTGCGGGCTGCCACGCCCCTGCACCTTGCCCACTGCACCAAACCCTGGGGTCAGGAAAGGGACCAAGGTGATCTGAAAGCTCACTCAAATGCACAGCCTCATCGGTGAGTTCCAGTAGAATCGAGCTGGGTGGCCCAGAGACGGATCACCCAGCATCTCTGGAGCTGAGCCCTGGGATCTCAGATCACATCAGTGACTCACTGGGCACTAGCTGAGCACCTGCTGCATACAGGGCCCAGGGCTCTGTGCTGTGGGATGGACACATGTAAGAGCTGCGGCAGAAAGAGGCTATATTAACAAAGACATAATATCCAGAAGAGAGGAGGTGAGCGTTTCCTCATTTTCTTATCCTGGCATGGTACTGGGTTCTGTCCGGAAAACCACCTTTTGAGAAGGATTTTGGCACATTTTGAAGTCTCTTGGGGGAACATGTCAAGACGATGAACATCTGGATTCCATGTCGTGTCAAGAAGGTCTACAGCATGTGATTAAAGGGCACCTGGGTGGCTCTGGTGGTTGGGCATCTGCCTTTGGCTCGGGTCATGATCCCGGGATCCTGGGATCGAGTCCTGCGTCGGGCTCCATGCTCTGCGGGGACCCTGCTTCTCCCTCCCCCTCGGCTCCCCCTGCTTGTGCTCACTCACTCTCTCTGTCAAATAAATAAAACTAAAATCTTAACAAAGAATGTGATTGAAGCAGATGACGTGATGACTTGCACCGGCAGATGGTGAGCTCCCCATCCTGAAAGTATTCAAGCAGGGCAGGACATTAGCTTCTTTGGTCTGGGTTGGGGCTCAGGGCGCCTGTGTCAGCCCGCCACCCTGCCCTCTCCTCAGGTGCCAGAGGGATCTTTCTGCCAGACCTGATCATTCTGTCCCTTTGCTTCAACCCTGAGGGGCTCCTCGCCTCTCTTTGCCGTCCCCATATGCCGAAGCCCTGCGAGTCTCCCCCACCCTGCTCCCTCTACCGCAGCCCCACTGCCCTGAGGCCGTCATTCTGAGCACACTCCCTCCCACCCCGAGCCTCTGCACCAGTGCCACCCGGCCCAACACGCCCCCTTTCCTCAAGCGAACTCCTGCTCAGCCCCCAGGTCTCAGGTCTTCTAGCCCTCTCAGGGGCAGAACAGAGGGGCTGGCACCCTCTCCTCGCCCCATAAAGCAGGGAGTGCCCGGAGGACAGAGACTGTCTCATTTGCTCAGAGCTCTATCTCCAAGGCCTGCACCCGGGTCAGCACACAGTAGCGGCTCAGTGGATGTGCACGAGGGAAAGGAGGAAGGAAGGAGGAGAGGCCTTGCTGCAGAAGAAGTCTGGGCTGGCCCCAGACGAAGGGCTGGGACGTCCGGAAGAAGAGAGGTGACATTGTCAGCTCTCACCAGGACGTGCCCATGTAACAAACACGTCCCTGTGCCGGGGGCTTCTGGGCAGTGGTGGATCGGCTCCCGAGCTTTCCTGTCCCGGGATCTGGCTGAAGGAGGAGTGGAGCCAGGACACATCGCTGTCTTGGAGGCCGGGACCCAGCGACGTGGGGCAAACACACACTCTCTCGGAGCCTCCACAGGCAGCTCACCCCCAGCTCAGCAGGCCAAGAGGCTGCGTCTCGCCCAGGAGGGCTCGGGTCTCCCGAGCAGGGCGCGATCTCCGGTGCAGGAGGATCCTGGGAAGCTGTCCTGCGGGCTTCCCCCTGGAAAGGTCAGTGGCCGCACAGGTAGAGTGTGAGCGGAGGGGCGGGCTTCATGCCGGAGCTGAGGCCGCTGCCCTTGGTGGAAGAGGCCACTAGGAGCCATGGACGGTTTCTGAGCAGGGGCGCGTGGTGAGTGCACGCTGCTGTTGCCACTGGGGCTGGTGTGGGGCGGGAGTGGGGGATGCTGAGTGCCAAGCAGGATGACAAGGAGGGACCCTGCCTGGCAGAAGGGCAGGTTGACGCAGAACAGAAGCCGACCTGTCCCAGCCCCTGGCATCTCCTGCACAAGGACCCTGATTCCTGGACTCTCGGAGGGCGGGGCGGCAGCAGCCTCTGCTCAGGGCAAACTCCATGGACGAGACTTGGAAAGGCCAGGCTTAGAGTCCGCTGGACCTTGTGCAGACCAGCAGGCACCTTCCTTTCCAAGCCCCAGGAGATGGTGCTAACAGCTGAGACGCAGAACAAAGGAGGCAAAAGAAATCTACAAAAATCTACAAAAAATTAAATTTCCTTTGCAGTCCATTGACAAACCCTTGGGACAGGCACAGTGACCCTCCTCCAGGAGCCCAGCTGCCTCGAGGCTAATACTCTGCTAGAGGCAGAAAGTAACCTTAGCTTGACATTAGCCTGACCTCCAGGATCCTGTAAAAATTCCTCTGGAGACTTCCTTTATCTCTACCCTCCTCCCCAAGGTCCGTGTTAGCAATCACCCCCAGGCCTATGGCCCACTGATACACATCTGCAGCATCTCATGACTGAGGGTTCACTAGCCAGTAATAAAGGAACTTTTCCTTTTTAAAATTTTTTAAAATTTTATTTAAATTCAGTTATTTAACATATAGTGCACATTGGTTTCAGAGGTAGAGGTCAGTGATGCATCAGCCTCCACCCGTGCCCTCCTGACTGCCCATCCCCCAGCGGCCCCACCCCCCAGCAGCCTGTGTTTTCCCTAGAGTTAAGAGTCTCTTAGGGTTTGCCTCCCTCTGATTTCGGGAAATGACCTTTTCCTGACCTCAGCTAGCCCTTCCTGGGGGGCTTGTTTCCCTCATTTCCAAATTCCTGAGAGACTTACGCTCTCCCCGACCCCCTCCCAGCTCCTCCTGGGGACCCGAGGGCAGCTCTTTCCGCCCACGCCTCCTGTCCCCCTGCCTTCATAAAAGCACCCTCTTTGCACTCAAGAAGCTTCAAGAATTCTTTCGTGACTGGCTGCTCCCGGACCCCCACATTTCACAGCCCCAGCCACACCGTAAAGGCAGCGCGATTGCTTTGTGCCATGCTGGGCCGCCTTCTGGGGCCAGAGCTTGGGGCCTCGTCTGCCTCGCAAAGATCAGGTTTCCCTGCAGAGCTAGTCAGCTTCCCAGAGGGCTTCCTGGAGGAGGAGGCAGCCTAGCCAGGCCCGGAAGGAGAGTGGGAGCGGATTCAGGGTCCCAGCCGGCCAGCCCCGCCCCAAACCCGTGGGCGACAGACCGGCAGCCACCGAGGAGGGCGGTGCGGGGGCGGGACACGGCTCCCTCCGGAGGTGCGGCCGCCCGGCCAGCGGGTCACGTGAGCGCCGGCCGGCCAGGTGGGGACCGTGACGCAGGCTGCACGGCCAGGTGCCCGGGGCGCGCGCCGCCCTCCCCTCCCGCCCGGCCCCTGCCCCGCCGGCCCGCGCGCCCACCTGGCCCGACGGCCCCGCGCCCGCGCCTCCCCGGGGGCCGCGCAGGAAGTGGGGGGCGGGGCCTGGGAGGGACCCGGCGGCGGCTGGGAGCGCGGCCCTATCGGCCGCCCGGCCGGAGCGCGGGGCCCGGAGCCAGACCGGCCGGAGCCAGACCGGCCGGAGCCGCCGCCCGCCCGCCGCCACGTCCTCCGCGCCGCGGCGCAGGTGAGCCTGGGGACGGGGGAGCGAGCTGGGGACGGGGAGGGCCGGTGACCCCGGGGCGCCTTCTCTCCCCTGCGCGCCCCCGCCCCGCCCGGCGCTGCGCCCGTCGGCGGAACTTCGCGGCTCGGTCCCTGCGCCCGCGCCGCCCCGGACGGAGCGCGCCAGGCCCGCGGCTGGACCCCGGCGGGGACCCCGCCCACGGCCTCGGGCGTCCTCCCGCCGCCCCTGCCTTTCCCGGCCCCCGGGCGGCTGCGTCCGCACCCCGAGGGGACGCTTCTCTCCTGCGTAGACGGCGGAGCCGGCAGACCGCAGGGAGCCCCCGATCTTTGAAAATGGGGGTGGGGCGGGGGCGCACGAAACCACCCTCCCCGCAAACCCTGGAGAGTCTGCTGCCCAAACCCAGTTTGGCCTCCAGTTAGGGGCCCCCAGATGAAGACCCGCGCTCCAGCAACCCGGAAAGAAGCGCCTCCCCGGCGGCGGGGATGGGGGGTGGGGGTGGGACGGGTGGGGGTGGGGGTGGGGGTGGGTGTGGGACGGGTGGGGGTGGGGGGCAGACGCAGCAGCGGGCGTCTAGCTTACCCTCAGCGGGTAGGGGAGGAAGGAGGGAGGAGTGTGGCGGCGCTCCTGAGGGCCGGGGCCCCTCTTACTGCCCACCGGTCTCCGTGCCTGGGTTTCTGCATCTGGGAAGCAAGAATCCCTTTTGAGCTAGGGGCGGAGCTCAGCCCAGCACGGGGCACGGGGGAACATGGGCGCCAGACCTGGAGCCCAGGAGCGCCTGACTCTCCGTGACCTTACGGTAAACAGTCTGCCCTGTTCTGTGTCTGGGGGCTCCGGGGGCATCTGCAGAGTCCCACCCCCACACCCCAGCCTAGTGCTTAGGGGTGTGGCGGTCCCTGGGTTCAAATCCTGGGCCGTGTGAACTCAGGCGAGTGACATAAGCCCCCGGGCCGCAGTGTCCTCCTGTGTGGAAGGGGAGGCCTCGGGTGCCCGCAGGGAGCACTGAGTCAGCGCACCTGAGCCCGCGGTCTGGACACTCCTCTGGCGAGGCCCGCGGGCCACAGGACAGAGCCTCTCCCCGGGTCTCCCGAGTCCTGCAGGGAGAGAGCAGCAGGAGGCAGGGTCTTGGGGGTTCCCAGAAGTGAGGTCTTCAGTCACTGGGACAGAAGCTGCATGGAGAGGAAGGGGGAGTGAGCTGAGCAGAGCTCTGGCCCCCCCACTCGGGGACATCTGCCGGGAGACACCTGTGCCAGGAGGGCTCTGGCTTCCAGGGCTGGGCTCCGACCCAACAGGGATGGCTCTGCACTGTGCTTGAGGAAGCGAGGGGGGCAGCCGAGCGGACTGCTGGGGTCCCCTCGGGTGCCGCCCCCAAGGACGCTGGTCTGTGTGTGTGGTCTGACGGGCACCGCCTCTCACCCTGTGTCTGGTGCCCAGAATTTTAGTTTCGGTTTCCAGATGGATGGTGGCTGCAGTTACGTGCGCAGGTGGCCCCGTGTGTAGGGGCGTCTTTATTCCAGCAGGAATCTCTGCTCACCCGCTGGCCCATCCTCGCCCAGCTCTCCGCTAACGGGAAGCCTGACCCCACTGGCTTTGCTCACATGTCGGGGAACATACCACCTTCCAAAGGAAGGGCATGACGAACTCCAGGCCCAGCGGGCAAGAAAGCATTTGGAAGACACCTGCTGCTCACCGGGTCAGGCGACCTGTCAGACTCAGGGCTCTGGGGCTTCTTGGGGGAACACCATGCATGTCAGCCCAGTCTGGGACAGGGGTCAAGTTTATGGGACTACTGGACCGAGAGACAGGAGCCGGCGAGCCGTGGGTGAGCCTGTGGTTGCGGGGGGAGCACTGCAGGCTGACCCGGGAGGTGGGCTTCTCTGACTGTTCCCCGCGCCAGGAAGCCTCAGAGCAAGAGGCCCCAGGAGGATCCTGCCCCGGGGGTGGCAGGGGCGGCAGGGGGTGGGGCACGGCACGGTCCCTCCCTGCTGCCAGGCTGGGTGCGAGGCTGCCAGTGGCCGGGTGGGTCTCCCTGACCCCCACCGTGAGCAGGGGGCCCTCTGGTCAGTGACGCCAGGCTCTCCATCTTGGCGCTGCAGACACTTGCTCCAGAACGTTCTATGAGGTGGGGTGCCCATGGTCTTCACCTACACACCCAGGGCTGCGACCTCCAAGAATTTCTCTGGGCATTGCCAAGTGTTGGGGCGGGGGGGCGGCTGCCCCAGCTGAGTCCTGAGCTGCCCCCAGCCGTCTTGCAGATGGCACCGTCTGCTGTGCGCTGTGACTTAAAACGCCAAATCCTGCCCCCAAATTCCGTGTGACCCTGAGGCTCGAGCTTGGCTAGGCAGAATTACCCAAGCACAAGCCCATCATTGTGGCTCGAGTCAGCCTGAGCAAGGACCAGGGTTGGGCGGATGGTGCTGGAGAGGCTGAGCCCCACCAGGCAGGGTGGGGTCAGCCAGACCTCGAGGCCAGGGCAGAGGGGACGGAGGCCCCACGGGGGAAGTGGTGTGGGTCCTGCTGGCTGGGGGAGCGGCTGTGGGCAGAGCCGCTGGTCCATCTGCAAGGCAGTGGCGGGGAGACAGCACGGAGCCCGCCGGAGTCCCAGAAGCCCATCTGTCGGGAAGAACGAGGGAGTGGGGGGGGGCACTGGGCTATGAGGGGCTGCACCGCAGCGAGGACGGTGCCGAGTGCCGCTTCGGCCTGGTCCCCCAGAGTCGGGTCCTCCCCCCACCCCACCTGCTGCCGTTCCTGCGTCCCACAGGGCAAGTGCCCCTTTCCCGCCCTGCACGTGCTGTGGAGGGACACTCTGCGCCATGGGTTACAAGGACCCAGCGGAGGACCGGCCTCCTCAGCCCCCTGGAGCAGGAACAGCAGGACGTCACCCAGTGGTGTCACGGACGGATCCGGAAGCCCCCGTGATGCATCCCTGGCGGTTTCTGGTGGCTGGAAGCTAAGTCCGTGCACGGAACCCCGGGGCGTCTTGGGGAGGACGCAGCCTGAGAGCAAGGGGCCCAGGACAGAGCAAGTACCCTGATGGCCAGCGTTCACTCGGCAGTTTGGACACTGAGCCCACTCTGGGGAGAGACTGTCCCTGCTCCCAAAGGACCCACAGACTCTTCGAGCAGTCAGATGTGCAACACGCAGCCCTCACTGCCCTGGGCCTCCCTGGAGGAGCTCCGCGGGGCCCCCTGTGCCGGGGGCAGCCCCATCCCTGGGACCTGAGAGGTCGGAGCCTTGCCCAGGTGACACTCTTGCCCGGACAGCATGGCCGGCGTCTGCCCGGAGGCAGCGGAGAGGAGAGTCTGTGCCCTGGCCCCTCCCTCGCACCGGCCCCAGGACACCAGGCGAAGGCCAGCAGCAGCGAGGACACTGGGATGGCCACTCTGCAGAGGCCGCCGGCCGCAGACACCGGGACAGTGGGGGGCCCAGGAGCCTGCGGGGCCGCTGCGCTCACGTGTGTGCGTGCGCCCCCGCACACCAGCCTCCCGATGCGAGCCCAGTGGGCTCCGCGTAGTCCGAGCAGACAGCCAAGCAGGACTGCTGGGCGTTTGAGGACAGCCTGGTGCCTGCGAGGGTGTGACAGGCCCAGAGGATGGACGGGCCAAGGCCAAAGAGGAGCCGTAAGCGTCCTGGAGCAGGAGCCGGCGCTCGCAGGCCAGGCCAGCAGCGGGGCAGGTGTGGTGGAAAGGCTGGACCCGCCCTCGGGAGGGCAGAGGGATGAGAGCACGGGGTGGGAGAGGGCAAGGTGTGGAGGTGACGCCAGGGGCCTGAGCGCCCACCCCAGGCTGCCCCCGAAAGAGGGGCTGGAGAAAACGGGGAGAAGTGTGGACGAAATGTCCCCAGCATACGCCTGGACCCGCTAGACCCGAGGACGGGGTTGGAAGGGGGCACGAGCCCGTGGCTCAGGGGTGAACTTGGGGTTGTGTGCCGGAGCACCAGAACTCCCCAGTTAAAGCGGGCTGGGGGGACCTCAGGCCACAATCCGGGGAGGCGAGGTCGAACGCGTCAGACATCTCGCCGGCAGCAGAACCCTAGACCAGAGAAGAGACCTGTTCTGGAAGAAGTGTCTCCCTCGGGCTCTGATCTCAGCCCGTTACTCCCGTGTGAGGCCGCCTTGGAGCCCGGGATAGGTGGGGACCCCAGGAGAGGACTGGGGTGGGTGGGGCTGGGGGAGGGGCCCGGGAGGACGCAGAACCAACGCACTGACCATGCGGAGCAGCGGGTCAAGGCAGACGAGGCAGGGACGAGGAATGCCCGGGGGGAAAGGAGCAGGAGGAAAACCAGAGTCAACAAGAGGGAATGATTAATGAGGGAGGCCGGCCGCGGGCGTCCCGCTACGACACACGGGGCTGGAGTCCCGTCCACGCAGCCGGGAGAGGGGCCGATGCCGGCCTTCCTCCTGGGAGCTCTTCCAGGAGCAGGAATCAGGGACTGGCTGTGGGGCCTGGGGTGGGGGTCAGGGGATGGGGGCAGGTGTCAGGGCAGCAGAGGAGGCGACGCCTGTCTTTTTTTTTTTTTTTTTAATATTTTATTTATTTATTTGACAGAGAGATCACAAGTAGGCAGAAAGGCAGGCAGAGAGAGAGGAGGAAGCAGGCTCCCCACCAAGCAGAGAGCCCGATGCGGGGCTCGATCCCAGGACCCTGAGATCATGACCTGGGCCAAAGGCAGAGGCTTAACCCACTGAACCACCCAGCGCCCTACTACGCCTGTCTTGGTGCTTGAGTTTTGGACCCGTGTCCAGGGACTTGTGGGAACCTGAACGTTCGGAGGAAGGAGACACAGGGGTGGCCGTGGGGGCGGTGGCTCTCCAGCCTCCTCTGGTCCTGAGGCCCTGCAGAGCCCCAGACAGCACCCGCTCTCCTGCAGGCCTGGTCCCTGGACTGGTGGCAACCCAGGCCTGTGGGTGCGGCCACCTTGCTGAGAACGGAGGTCACACCCGGCAGTGGCTCGCCCGACAGGTTCCTTGGAGCACCTCGGGCCCCAGAGCAGACTTTGCCCTACGCTGGGAGAGGCTGTGCCCCTGGCTGGGTCCAGGGTCTGGGGTCCAGGGTCCAGGCCCAGAGGACAGGGCCAAGGAGACCCAAGCCTGGGGCCTCGGGTGGGGGCGAGGGAGAGGAAGGACGGCTCGGGGCCAGTGGGGGGCGGGGACGGTGCTGGTTCTGCTGCATCCTGGGCTCCGTGCAGCGACGAGGTGTGCAGCCGTGGTAGGAGCCTCGAAGAAGAGCCCTGGCAGACGTCTGCGGCTTCAGGCTCCCTACCTGCGTGGGTGCACTTTGCTTGGACCCCAGATAGAGCGACGTCTGCCAGAAACCCCGTTCCGGGCCCGGCCTGCCTAGATGCAGACAAAGTTAACATGGGGGTGGGTGAGCCTGGATGGCACCACCCGCCCTAGCTGCCAGTGACTCAGTATGTCCCCAGGAATGCGTGGGTGGTGTCCTCTGGGCATGGGGGTGGCTGGAGCTCTGCGGACGGCCCCTCCCTGTCACCAGAAGGCTCGGCCGCACACCCTCTCTGGGATGGTTTTAGCAGAGAGCGTGTGCACCAGGAGCGGGGTTGTGGGGAGCCTGGCCTCCCGGACCCCCGACTATACTCTGGTGCGGACCCCTCCAGAGCCCAGCCACCCCTCGCAGACGGATTCTGGAGCTGAGGCCTGGAACTTCACAGGGGATGCGGCCCGATGCGAGATTGGGTGGCGAGTGTCGGGGGTAGGCCTGGGCAGGGACCTCCTAGTGGGTCCCTCGACTCCAGAGGCTCCACGCCTGCCAGCACAGGCCCTGGCCCCTCTAGCAGCACGCCCCCCAGGGTGGGAGAGAGGAGGTGACACCCTCACTCTCCCAGGGCTGTCGGAGACAATGGGCCTGCCTCCTGCCCCAGGTCTGCAGGGCACACGGCCCCGGGCGGCGAAACTGCGCCCAGCCTGGGCCCCCTGAGCTGGTGACGTGGAGACATAATTCTTCCATCCGAGAAATGGGCTCCCAGCCTCGCTGGCTCTCGTAACACGTGCAAGCCGTGTGTCTGCAGGAGGGGTGCAGGGAGCCGTGCCGCGCGCTTTTCTTAAAATTGAAAGGAAGCGATACAGAGTGAGGTTCCGGCAGTCCTGCCAAGTCGTCCCAAGCCGGCGCCTGTCCCGCGTGTAGGTCTGGAGCAAGGAGCAGGAGGGTGATACAGCCTTGCACTCCCGCGAGGGCTCGGGCATCGGGGCCGGGCCGGGCTGGGCAACCCTTCCTGCCTCCGGAGGCCGGCCTTGTCGCGACTCTGCCCATCTGCGGATTTTGAAACGGAGGCGGAAAACTCAGCAGAGGGCAGCGACACGACGGCGGCAGGTGGCCCCTCAGGACGGCTCGGGTTGGCACTGGCCAGATGCTGGTGCCCCGGAGGCGGGAGGCTGGCGTTGGCTCTGCCCAACCCCGAGTGGGAAGGTGGCGTGGGCCGTGCACGCCGGCGGAGCAGACCCCTCAGCCCTGATGAGCGAACAGCCGGGCCACAGATGCCAGTCAGCGGGCTCCTCACGGCTGGGGGCTCGGGGCCCCGGGGGATGGGCATCCAAGGGACGCAGGGAGAGCAGGCTGGGGCTCGGGCTCTGCCAGCACCTCCCTCCCCTCTGTGTCCACGCACACGCGGTGACCATGCCCGGCCAGGCTCTGGAAAAGGGATTGTTCGCCCCGTTCTGAGTTCACCTGCTCTGAGTTCATCAATGGGGGAAAATGCCGAGTGTGTACCTGGACGTGTGGGAAGGCTGGCAGACACCGGCCGTGGTGGAATCGCCACACGGGGCCTCGGAGAGAAGGGTGTGAAATCAGATGGGCTTGGGTTCAGAGCCTGGTGACCCATACTTCCTGTCCCCCATCCCAGGGCTGGTTCCTGGGTTTCTCCATTTGCACACCGAGAGTGAGGACAGCCAGGATGTTTGGGGGGTGGGGTGAGGTCATACCCCCAACCCAGAGCGGCAGACCCTGGCTCTGCTGCTCCCGAGCTTGGGGGCGCGGCCGAGACTGGGGTCGTGGCCCGCGCTATGTGAAGCGGATGTCAGAAGACCCCCCAGACGGCGTTACCGACCGGCAAGAGATAGCGCCCAGAGGCCCAGGGCTGCAGCAGCTCAGGTCTCCAGGGCCCCGGTCCGGGCGGCCTGCACTGCCCCACGCTTGCAGCCCAGGCGTGGGGTCTGTCCTCGGTGTGTGTGCCCACTGGAGGAAGCAGGCATGTCCTCTGGCCCAGTCCCAGCCGCCTGGGGCCCTGCAGGCCTGAGCCTCCCAGCCCACCTCCCCAGGGGTCCTGGGGGCTGGGGGCCAGGCCCTCCCCAGTTCTGCTTCAGGCCTCCGAGCCTTGCATCCCCAGTGGGGTCTCCGGCCAGGGCGGGTGCTGGGAAGCCATGGATGGGCCCGTCTGCAGGGGGGCTGCTGGGTGGACGTCTGCATGCCGCCCTCACCCCTGCTCTTTTGCCCCAGGACACGGCGGCCGCCGAGTATGTCCCAGCGACACTCGGACAGCTCCTTGGAAGAGAAGCTGCTGGAATACCGCTTCCACTCCGAGCTGCGGCTCGATGCCAAGGGGAACCCGGCACCCGGGCTGCCCATGGTCCGGGACTCCCTGCAGGTCAGGGACAATGCCGCTTTCCAGCTGGACACCTCGGTGCCCCCACCTCTGTCCACTAAGGACGAGGAGCCACGGACCGTTGTCCTGAGCACGCAGAGCCCCGCGGCCCTCAAGATGGGCACTCAGCAGCTGATCCCCAGAAGCCTGGCCGTGTCCAGCAAGGCCAAGACCCCAGCCCGCCACCAGAGCTTCGGGGCGGCCGTGCTCAGCAAGGAAGCTGCCCGAAGGGAGCCCCGGCTCATCTCCACCCCCAGCTTCTCCCTGGATGACATGGACATGGACACGGGCCCCGAGGGAGCGCTCAGACGGCACCTGCGGAACCAATCCTACCGGGCAGCCGTGCAGGGCCTGGGGGCGCCGGGTGGGGAGAGGACCCCCATCCAGCTCAGCCCCAAGCTCCAAGCTCTGGCCGAGGAGCCCAGTCCGCCTCCTGTTCGGTGTCCGGCCAAGAATAAGGTAGGGGCCCATCTGCCTGGACGCTGGGGCAGGGGCCGTGCCTCGAGGGGCCTCGGGAGCTTGTAGACAGGGCCTCACCTAATGGTGCAGAGGGGCCCAGGGAGCGTCTACCGTGTGCATATCCCTGACCTGGTTCACCCCGGTCACGCACATGGGCAGACTGTGAGCTGAGTGTGACATCCCCATTTTACAGATGGGGCAGCTGAGGCTCAGAAAGGTCGGGGGCTTTCCCCAGGCCCTCAGGCTCCAGGCTCCCCACCCTCAGCCACAGTGAGAGGGAACAGCCCCCCTCTCTCTGAGCCCCAAGGGGAGCCGGGCTATCTGGACAAGGTGTAGGGAGGGCTTCCGAGCGGCACCTGGCCTGGGTCGGTCTGCCCTATGGGCCCCTGCATGGGAGCTCAGGAGAAGTCTGACGCCCTCTCTGCCCACACACCCTCCTTCCCCTGCCCAACACCCTTGTGCTCCAGTGTTCTTGAGAGAGCGGGGCTGGCCCGGGGCCAGTGGGAAGGGCACCCTTGCTCGGGGTCCGTGTGCCCAGAGTTATTCCCGCGGCCACCTCTGCCAGGAATGCCCTGGGACTGTGAGCGGTGGCCCCAGCCCGGGAAGAAGCCAAGCCCGGCCGTCAGTGCCAGCAAGCCAGCATGCAGCAGGATCCCTGGGGTGCACCTTGGCCGCTATCCTCCGCTGAAAGATGCCCGTGGCCTTGGAGGTGGGGCACGGCCCCTGCCTGCCTTCCTGAGCTGCCCAGGCCCCGGAGGCTGCCTGAGGAATCCCGCAGCCTAGGACCAGGCCAGCTGCCAGCTCGCTGTTGGGCCAAGTGCACAACCGACGTTTCCCGAGTTCTCCTGCGGCTGGCGCTGGGGTCCTGAGGGGGGCCCTGGAGGCAGGGCCCCAGGGAGCAACCAGGGCAGTGAGGGGTCAGGGGTACTCTGGGGTGCTCAGGTCTGGGGGCCGACGGAGCACTGAGGAGGGGCTGGCTCCCTGGTTGCTCAGGGCAGGGGCGGGGGTGGGGAGAAGGTCCCGAGGAGGAAGGGTTAAAGCCAGGTGTGAACGAGGGTCACCGGGCGGGGGGGCACAGGACGGGGGAGCCGGGTGTGGCTGGAGCACCACAGCTTCCAGCCCAGCAAAGGGAGTTGTCAAGCCCCAACTCGTCCGAGATACCAGCTCTCCCTTTCCTGGAGCCGGCACGGCTTCCCGCTCAGGAAAACACCGTGTCCCGGCCAAGGAGGCTCTGAGCAGGCGGCTGCTGGGGCCACGGGTGGGGATCCCCAAGAACCCCCACTTGCCTTTGCAGTCCTGCCAGCAGCTGCTGGGACCCCACACCCATGCTGGGAGCTAGACTCCACCCTTCCTGCCGCCCCAGGTCCCAGACTGCAGGAGGCCCTGTGTGGGGCCCCACCCAGCTCCCAGCCCTGGGCCGCCTCAGACCCTCCGGCCGGACCCATCCAGCCTTGCGTCGGCCTCCCTTCATGCCCAGCTGGAACACCCCACCTGCCTGAGCACCCGCTCTTGATTCGTTCAGTCCCGCTTTCTCCTCCAGGCAGACCTCCTGGATCTGCCTAGCTCCCAGTCAACCTGCCCTGCCTGCTCCAAGCCCCCATTCCACCCCATCCTACCCACCCTGGCCTCTGCCTGGTGGCCTGGCTTCCCTCCACGTTTATTGAGCATCTTGTGGGTGCCTGGCAGAGCCTCCGCCAGGCCACACGCGTGGCGCCGAGAGGTGCTTGGCCCCCCAGGGGTAGAGGGCTCGTGGCAGACTCAGACCTGCCTCCCCTCCCCGCTGACTGCTGGTGTGTCTGTGTCTCTCCTGTTTGCACAGAGGACGCTGGGGCGGAAGCGAGCACACAAGGGCTCCTTCAAGGACGGTGAGTGTGGCCGAGGGAGGTGACCTCAGGAAGCCACCATAGGCCAGGCTGGCACAGGGGAGGCTGGTCTCTCTGGGGCTGCTGGGGGGCGGGGGAGGCTGGTGCTCTCAGCGAGAACATGCCAAGAGGGGTTTCTCCAGGGACGGGAGGTCCCGGTGGCTCATCTGTGCAGTTCTGTTGGGTCTAGAAAGTTCCCTCGTGCTCCCTTTTGAAGTGTTCCAAGGGCAGGGGCAGACAGAGCCCCTGCACTCACCCCAGGGAACGTTTGTCAACCCTGCATGTGCCAGGCCTGTAGTGACCGGTGGGACCAAGGCCAGCCAGAGGGCGCTGGCCCCGGGTGTGGACACCCATGCTGTGTGCATTGCCTGTACATTTCACAGTGTGCAAGGAGCCCGGTGTGGGGTTCAGGAGGGCCCAGAGCAGTGTGTGCAGCCTGCCAAGGGGTGGGATGCCGACAGAACCCCCCAGCAGGTGGGGGAGGGGTCTGTGCCATCGGGATGCAGCACCCAGGGCTGTGAGGGCCTTAGGTCGCAGGGACCCAGCCAGGAAGGGCCCTCCCTCCCTGCCAGCCCCCAGCCTCTACACAGCCGTGGGCCTGGGGGTGGGGGGCAGACAGGAGCCAAGCCTCCTGCCCCAGGGAGAGGAGCCGTGGTGAGCAGATCTCAGAGGCGGGATGGGAAGGAGGGGCGTGGGGGTTGCCCTGATCCAGGGCCAGCTGGTTGCCGTCACCATGGGGCTGCTGCAGAGCGGGAGAGCAGGGACTGCCCCTCTGGGGGATGGGCTCCGGGGAGCCAGCACCCCGTGTGTTCGGCCCAGCCTGGGAACAGCCCCGACCCAAGGCGGCCCCCCGTGGCCGGGATTTGTCGGCTCAGTCTCAGTCTGAAGGTGCCACATTCCGCACGGGGACGCCACCCCAGTGCAGGGCTGGGCCCAGCACGGCCATGGGAGCCAGCCAGCCCGAGGGGAGCCTGCTCTGGGGGGCCCTGCGCCGCCTGACACTCTCAGAGCCCCCCTGGGAGGACTCAGCCTGCAGGTTCGCAGGTTCCCATGCCCGCTCAGAGCCCCCCGGCCTGCAGGTGACACATTCCCTCTCCCCAGACCCCGGGTTCTACCAGGAGATCCGGGAACGGGGCCTGAACACCAGCCATGAGTCCGACGATGACTTGGTCAGTGAACCATCCAGCCCCAATGGAACGGAAAAGGCGGGTGCCCCCATCGTAGTCAAAAGCTACCGGCCTGCCCAGGTCACCTGGAGCCAGCTCCCAGAGGTAGGACCCAGACGGAGGGTGGAGGTCCTGAGCCTAAGCCGTTGGGCGGTTGGCCCCTCAAAGCCAGCCTCGGTCCCTCTGGTGTGGGGACAAGCCTTCCAAAAGTACCTTCTGGGCCCAGCTTGTGGTGGGGAGCTCCCTTCCTGCTGTCCTCCAGGCTGCTGTTTGGGTCCCATGGGGGAGATCCATGAGGGCCACATGCCATTGGCAGCGCTCGTCTGACAAGCCTCCCGCCCATGAGCCCCTCGATATCTCCCTACGTGGACTGATCTGCCGGAGCTGTGGGCAAAAAGACCCCCTTCCGAGGGGCCTGCCCCCCGGAGAGTACCAGAGGGTCCGAGCGGTCCAAGACCGCAGGGGAAGGGAGAGGGCCAGGCCTCGGCTTCAGGAGAGCCACATGCTGCTATCACGCTGCCACCTCACCCTCCACACCTGAATCACGGTGGGTCCCTGCCCAGCAGGGCCACGGGGGCCCTGGGAAGATCATGGCTGGGACAGAGGCCCTGGTGTCCCGGACAGGTGTGTGGGGAGGAACCCCACGACCCCAGGAGGACAGCCACACTCCTGACCCATCGAGAGCCCAGGGACAGAGCTGCCCTGGAGCCCGTGGGCAGGGAGGGCAGCTGCAGGCATGTGGTCTCCTGGGTGGGGGCGGGTCAGGACATGCCACCGGAGGTTCAGGGAGCCACCTGAGCTCGGGGGCTTGGAGCCCAGCCTCTGGGCTGGTCGAGAAGGTGGGGGCTTACCGGCCTGGGGCCCCGGGGCCTGAGGGCATGGAGAGCCGGACCGTGTGCCCAGATCTCATGGGCAGGGCGCAGACTCACCTGGGCCCGTGTGTCTGAGTTGTGGCCCTGTCCCCAGCACGCCTCTCAGCCCCAGGCCAGCTCTGCGGGACAGAGCCCCCTCCCCACCCAGCGGGGTCCACCAGCCGCTCCCTCTGGACGCTCAGCTCTCTTCCTCATCTCTTCGGAGGGAGGCTGGGCTTCCCGGATGTGCCCAACCCGTGACTCCCAGGCCCATGCCCTCCTCAGGTGGTGGAGTCCGGCCTCCTGGACGAGCTGTCTGCTGAGGAACGCAAGCGGCAGGAGGTGAGGGGCCGGGCGGGGCGTCCAGCCCTGTGCCCAGCACTTGGTGCAGGCCACACAGCACACGGGGCAGGACGACGGCCACGGCGATGCCTCCCGCCTCCTGGCCAGGCACTGGGATGATGGTGGATGCCCTTGGCTTGGGCCGGGGGGCGGGGGGTCCATCACCCCTTCTTGGATGCACGTGGGGGTCCTTGCCAACGTCACAGCTCATGAGAGGCTGAGCCGAGGGCATGAGACGTACCCCTCTAACGTGCTGCTGACGTCTGGTCCGAGCCTGCCCTGCACCCTAGCCCTGTCCCCTAGGCGCATGGTGGCCCCAGCAGCGGCTCTCGTCCCCGCCAGGCCATCTTTGAGATCCTCACGTCGGAGTTCTCGTACCAGCACAGCCTGGGCATCCTGGTGGCCGAGTTCCTGCAGTCCAGGGAGCTGCGGGCCACCATGACCCAGACGGAGCACCACCACCTCTTCTCCAACATCCTAGATGTCCTGAGTGCCAGTCAGAGGTGAGGCCCAGCTGTGCGCCCGCCCGCGAGGGTGCCCCCACCCCAGGGCAGCATGGCACTGTTGGGGTCTCGGGACAGTCTGGGTCTGGGACCGCGGGTGGGAGGTTGGGAGCCGCTGGGGACTGGGAGGGAACACAGGGACCCGAGGCCGCCCAGCACTGGGCTCCGTGACAGGCTGAGCGCCCCCGCCCCCAACGTCCTGTGCCTCGGATGTCGGACGGTGCAGCACGTGCTGGATGACGGGCGCCTTACCCACACCCACCCCCCATCCCCCCACCGGGACGTCCCGTGCCGGAGGCTGAGCACCAAGCCCTGAAGTGGCCACGGGACGGAGCAGGCGGGAGGCGCTTCGAGTTGGGGCTTCGGGTCCTGTTGTGCCCGATGGTGTCCGGTGCCCGGCCCGGGGCTCCGGTGACAGGGCCCGGTGGTGGAAGAGGAGCCGGACAAGCCGCCGCGGGCCTGCAGGGGCCTGCGTGTGTGCGTCTCTGTGCTTGTGCAGGTGTGTGGCTGGGTGTGTGTGCACACGCGTCTGTGAGTGTGTGTGCGTCTACTCCCACACACAGCCCCGGGCCCCAGGAGACCCCGGGACACCGCTCCTCTTGCCTCAGCACTCTCCCTAACCCAAGGAGGTGGGTCCGGGGCCCCTGGCAGACTAGGGTGGGGCAGGTGGGAGAAGGTGGCGCAGCCCTGGCTGGTTCACATCAGCATCAGACCGGTTCCCTGCGTCCCGGCCGGCACCTGCTTCCTGTGACGCCCGTGGGGTTTCAGGGCCCTGCGGGGGGAGGGCTGCTGACTTGTCCCTGGAGATGGGTCAGGCTGCAGAGCAGAGCAGCGTGGGGAAACTCGCAGCCTTTGACTCCACGGGGGCCTGGGATAGGCGGCTGCCCTCCACTGGCTCTGACACTTTGCTCCATGTCCCCGAGGCACAGCGGAGGGCCTGGACCCACCATGGGCCAGCTGTCCCGTTTGTGCTGAGCTCCCCAGGGCCTCTGGCTGGCCATCACTGTCCCGGGGTACGACGGTCCGGCCTCCTGCTCCAGCTGGGTTCTGGCAGCTCCGAGCCAGTCACAGTGGCCTTCCTGGGACTAGGTTATCTTGGGTCAGCAGCTGAGGACTACCTTTCCCAGAACTTTCTTGAAACCCTTGGAATGGCTGGGGGAGGCGCTGACCGGCGTGGCCCACCCAACCAGGCACAGGCATGCAGCCCTACACCTGGGCAGCTGGGGCCTCCCATGCCCTCCTCAAGGGGGCAGGGTCCTTGTCCGTTCCTATCCCCGTCTGCCTGGGCTGCCCAGGAGCTGGGGCTCTCTGAGTGCTCCCCAGGGCAGAGGGTCAGGCAGGGCCCAGCGAGCAGGGTCTGAGGGACCCGTCCTCAAAGCCAGGGCCTTGTTCACCCTCCCTGAGACTCGTCCTGGCCTCCCCGAGGGTAACCGGAGCACGGCCCCCATCTCACAGGGGTGGGACTGCCCATCCTCCCCCTCCTGCCGGTGGTGTCCCCATCCCGGGAGCTCGGTGGGGCTGACGGCAGGCCCCATGGTGCCTGCAGTGTTGGGGGCCTGGGACCTTCCCTCCCGGTCTTGTCTTCCTGATCTCTGGTCAAGGGTGATCTCAGAAGGGGACCCCAGGAGGAAGCGGGACCTGGTGGCCACTGCTGTGGAGCCCACCCGGAGCCCCCAGCCTCACACCGAGCTGGCAGAGGGCACCAGGGCTCCCAGCGGGTCTGACCCAAGCCCAAGGACTCACATCAGAGCGGCGGCTTTCACGTCCTGCCCGTCTGCGGCCCGTGGTGTCTACAGGACGCCCTGCCAGAATCCAGCAGGAAGGGGCCTCGGGTCAGCCCGATTGTCAGGCTTCAGCGGCTGGTGTGCTGGGGTTTCCCCAGGCGACGGGTCCCCCACGCGACTGCCGGGTTCCTGCCCCTGCGTGCATGTTTGCACGCGTGTGCGTGTGCGTGTGCATGTGCATGTGCGTGTGCCGTGCTGGGGGACGGCCAGGCCTCCACTGCGCTCTCGCCCGGTTAGATTCTTCGAGGCCCTGGAGCAGCGGCACAAGGCGCAGGTCTGTGTGGAGGACATCAGCGACATCCTGGAGGAGCACGCCGAGAAGCACTTCCACCCCTACGTCGCCTACTGCTCCAACGAGGTCTACCAGCAGCGCGCCCTGCAGAAGCTGACGTGAGCGCGGGCTCCCTGCGGCCGGGGGTCCGCTCCGGGCGCCCTGGTCAGGCGGCACAGTCCTGCTCGCGACCCGGTGTCTGCCAGCGGCACCTGTCCCCCCGTCGCAGCTGAGGGAACGTTCCCTATTGCAGGAACAGCAACGCCGCCTTCCACGAGGCCCTGAAGGAGATCGAGAAGCGACCCGCGTGCGGGGGTCTCCCCATGATCTCCTTCCTGATCCTCCCCATGCAGAGGGTGACCCGGCTGCCCCTCCTGACCGACGTGAGTAGGACGCACAGACCCCTGCCGGGGAGGGAGCAAGAGACTCCCAGGAGCTCCCTGCAGGGCCTCAGGCCTCTGAGATGCTGCTCGTGGGCCCGAGGGGCGGGGCGGTGAGAGGCACGTGTGCGGGTGCCCGTGTCCTACGTGTACACAGGCAGGCGTGCGTCTCGTGCACACGTGCAGATGCAGACTCGGCGGGAGCCTGCCCAGCCCCCAGAAGCAGCGCACGGCTTGTGCTTGGAGGATTGTTGGTCTGGACCCATGGGACGTTAGACCCTCCACAGTCCTTGTGGGGACTTCCCCAGACTGGGCCAAGACAGCCGCGGACTGGAAGGGCTGGGGTCCTGGGCAGGTGCCCTCTCCAGGGTCCCATCTGCCAGCCTGACCTGGCAGGAGCCGTTTGGGGGCTGTGCACCCCCAGGGCCCTGGCAGGAGCCTGTTGGACACGGGCTCTCCGCCTCCCCGCAGCCCCCACCTGGGTCTGCTGTTCGCGGGTGGGGGGGCTATGCCCCACGCAGGCCTGAAGCCTGGAGCACAGGAGGGTATGCGGTGCCTGACACGCGGGGTTCACTCTGCAGACTCTCTGCCTCAAGAGTCAAGGCCATCCTGAGAGGTACAAGGCTGCCAGCCGTGCGCTCAAGGCTATCAGCAAGGTGAGGGGCGTCGGGGGAGAGGCGCGGGCACCTGGACCAGCCGAGGTCTGTCCCTTTCCGCCCAGTGCGGGGGACCCTGAGGGCAGGGCGGGCTTCCGCACCGTCTGTTTTGGGCTTTTCACGGGGCTGATGGGGAAACCGAGGTCCAGAGGGAGAGGGGCTCGCACGTGGTTGGGGATTCCGTCGTGGGGGCGGCAGCGAGGACGGCCCGGGTGTGGGCTGGGAAGCTGTGGGCGGGGGGGGTCGGGCCACAGCCCGCGGCAGCGCCTGCGGTCTGGCCCCGCAGCTGGTGCATCAGTGCAACGAGGGCGCCCGCAAGATGGAGCGCACGGAGCAGATGTACGAGCTCCACGCGCGGCTGGACTTCGGCCGGGTCAAGGTAGGCACCCCCTCCCCTCCTGAGTGGGCTCCTGGGAGGGCGGGGGCACAGCCCGGGGCCCTGCCTCAACGGCTCCAGGCCTCGGTTTCCTGCTAGAGTGTCCTCTGTGTCTCCTGGTCCCCTGGTGGGAATCGTCCCTCCTGGGTCTAGGTGGGCATAAGGGTCTCTCTGGCCTGTGCTCCCCCACCCAGGGCCGTCCCGGGGCGGCTGCCAGAGGAGGGGTGGCAGCGGGGCGGGCAGCGGGGTGGGGCGGGCCGGAGGGCTTGCCCCGGGCCAGGGCTTCCGGCAGTGCTGAGAATGGGGTAAAGGACGGGGTCAGGCCCCGTTCTGGTCGTGGGCCTCCCTCGGTTCTGGGGACGGGCCTAGACATCCTGCAGGCCCTCCCAGGCAGGCGGGGCCCAAGCCGTTGTCCCCACTGAGCAAGGCCCTGCTGCGTCCCAGGCCACCGGCCTCCTGCCTGCGCGGGGGCAGGGGCGGGGGTGGGGTTGTCCGGCAGTGGGTGAGGAGCCGACACACAGACACTTCCCCACGGGAGCCGCTCCACAGGAGTTGGCCTGGAGGCGGCTCTCTGGGCCGGGCCTCTACTGTCCTCCATCACGCTGGGCTGCTGACCTCCGGGGGCTGCCCGGAAGGCCAGAGCTCGGGGGCGGCGGGTGCTGTGGGCAGGACAGGAGGCCCCGAGTGTTGGAGGCAGGGCACGGATGCCTGGAGAAGGGTGTGAGGGTGTGTGGATGCTTCCCCACGATGGCTTTTGCTTCCCAGTTTGGAGAGAGTGTTCAGCAGGTGCTAGGAGGGCCCCGGGGCCTGGCCGGAGGCAGGACGGGCCTGTCCTGGCTGCTGGGCGGGATCGGGGCCTGGACCTGGCACAGAGCAGCTGTCCCATTTGTGCCTGTCGCCCAACTGAATAGCCCTTTGTGTGAGGCAAGGCCACATCGCCCCGCCTTCCTCGGTCCAGCCCGGGAGGCCGGTCCCCAGTTCTTGGAGGCAGGGACCCCTGCCGTCCTGGCCCCCGCCCCAGCTGTGGTGCCTCTCCGGCTCCTCCTTCCAGTCCCTCCCGCTGATCTCTGCCTCCCGCTGGCTGCTGAAGCGTGGGGAGCTTTTCGTGGTAGAAGAAACCAGGCTTTTCCGAAAACTGGCCAGCCGGCCCACATGCTACCTGTTTCTGTTCAACGACGTTCTGGTGGTCACCAAGAAGAAGAGGTGGGCCACCGTGGTGCCGGGCTGTGTGGCCCTGCGATTGGGCCCGGGGAGGCGTAGGGGCAGCCGCCTGAGCCGCCCCTGACCTCAGAGTTGGAGTCCCCCGCGCAGCCTGGCCCGTCCCTGGCAGCGGCCTTGCATCCCCCGACGTGTGGGGTGGCCAGGCGCCTCTCATGGCCCGCAGACCAGGGTTTGCGGGCCCAGACGAGAGAGCACACGGCCCGTGTTTTCTGGGGGGTGGTTCTCAGGTGCATCCCTCTGACTGTGTGCCCCCCAGCTGGGTAGGGGCCCCAGACTGCCCACAGACCCCCCCCCCCCCGCTGCAGCTGGCTGCCCGCCTGTCTTCCCGCAGCGAGGACAGCTTCATGGTTCAGGACTATGCCCAGATGGACCACATCCGGGTCCAGAAGATGGAGCCCTCTGACCCCAGCCTGCTGGGTGGCGGTGGCACCCGCAGCTCCTCGGTGCCACACCCCTTCCGGGTGACCCTGCTGCGCAACAGTGAGGGCCTCCAGGAGAAGATCCTGCTGTCCTCCGACTCTGCGTGAGTCAGGGGAGGGTTCCCGGGAGCAGGGGTTCGTGCCGTCAAGTTCTCAGGCACCTGCCGTGAGCCCAGCCCTGCGTCGGAGGCCAGGGCAGCCTCGTCCTCCCAGAGTTCACATAGGTGGGAGGGGGACACGCCAGCCAGACGAGCAGCGGGACCGTCAGGCATGTCTGGAGGTACCGACGAAGCAGGAAGGCAAGGCAGGGAAGGGAGCACCCGGTGGGGCAGCCTGACTGGTGCAATGCCACGTGGGGAGGGGAGCCTGGCAGAGGCACGGCTGTGCAAAGGCCCTGAGGCAGGAGGCCTCTGCTGAGAACCAGGCTGGGCCGGGGCCCAGGTGCCGGCAGTGGGGTGGGAGGTAGTGAGGTCAGAACCGTCTGGAAGGGGGTGGGCAGCACACGGAGACGCCAGCACCACGGGCACTCAGCAGATGAGGGAGGCAGGGACGGGGCTGGCTTGGTCTCCATGCTCCCTCCAGATGGGAAGCCGAGGCGGAAGGTTTAAAGCCTTAAACTAGCGCGGGACAGTGGGCTTGGGGCCCAGCACCGGCAGACGGGGTGGCCCGGGCGGTGGGGGTGAGGCTGCCGCCTGCCTCCGGGATGCTGGGCAGGTGGGACTCAGGGTCAGCCTGCCTGCCCTCCCTTTTGCCCCGTGATTTCCCCCATGTGGCCCCTCGGTGGTTTGTGGGGGTCAGGAGAGGGCGCCCAGACAGCGTGAGCCTTCGTGGCCACTGCCCACCGCACCTTGAGGGCTTTGGGGGCACGCTCACGAAACCCCTGGCCGTGCGACCCCCATCTCTCCACGGTGCCGCACTGCGGGCGGGACGTGTGAAGCCAGAGGCCCCCAGGCTGGGCCTCACCCATCCCCTCTCCAACGCAGGAGTGACCGGGCCCGGTGGATCACGGCGCTCACGCACAGGGAGAGGCAGGGGCAGGGCCCCACCAACAAAGGAGGTAAGCGCCTGCTCCACGCTGAGCAGGGCTCCCAGTGCTGTCCCCGGGCCTGGGCAGGGGGTTGGCATGGAGCTAAGAGGCGCTGACCAGCTCTCTGTCCATGCCACTGCCTGCCCCCAGGGTGAGCCACCCAGGTGAGGGACCCCAGAGCCGCGTACCCATGGGTGCTTCTACGCACCCAGCTCTGTCCCAGGGCCTTCCTGTTCTGTGCGGGGAGAGGAGACTGCCCCGCGCCCAGGGCCTGGAGCTGACTGAGGCCACAGTGCCCATCGACCTGTCACCCCGGCTCCAGCCCTGCCCCTTAGAAGCCGGGTTCCCCTCTGCTGGCGCTGGTGCTTTGGCTCTGAAAGCAGGAGTAGCCTGTCCTGTGGCCTCTGGAGGGAAGCAGCTGTGTGTCCGGAGCCCCCCCAGGCCCCACCGAGACCGGGCCGCGAGGGATGTGTTAGGAGGGGAGCCCTGCCCGACCTGGGGCAGCAGAGCCCCTGGCTCTGCCCTCCTGGGGACAGTTTTGTTGCTGACACCTGCTCCCTCCTGCCCCCGCAGACCTGCCCCAGGTGGAGATCACCAAGGCTTACTTGGCCAGGCAGGCCGACGAGATCTCACTGCAGCAGGCCGACGTGGTCCTGGTCCTGGAGCAGGAGGACGGTGAGCGCGGCTGCACCTGGGTGGTGGCCAGATGGAGGTGGGGTGGACCCCAGAGTGAGTCCGTCCGGCGCCCCCACGAGGGTCTGGAGCATGCCAGGTGCGGGCAGCTGACCCTGAGCCTGGCCCCCAAGACGCGGTTTCTGCACCGGCTCTCGGTGGGCCTGGCCCGATCCGAAGCCCTTCAGCCCCTCCCTCCAGGGTCTCTTCAAAGGTCCCTGAGTCACAGGATCAGAGCCAGCTTCTCTGTCGCTCTGTCCTCAGCAGGATGAGGGCAGCTGTGCTCCTCCTGGGGGCCCCGAAGCTGGCCGGGGCGTGCTCAGCCGCTGACACCAGGGTCCAGGCAGAGCAGTGGCTGGAGGACCCGGGGCCCGGGGCCAGGCCCTGCCAGAGGAGCAGGGGGTGCTGTGCTCTGCGGGAGGCCTGGCCCTGGCGTCTCCGGGAACCCGGACCCCGCCCTCACCTGCCCCACATCTGTGTTCAGGCTGGGTCTACGGCGAGCGGCTGAGGGACGGGGAGACGGGTTGGTTCCCCGAGGACTTCGCCCAAAGCATCACCAGCCGTGTGGCCGTGGAGGGCAACGTGCGTCGGATGGAGCGGCTGCGGGTGGAGACGGATGTGTAGCTCGCCCCACCGCACCGCACCGCACCGCACCGCACCGCACCGCACCGCGGCCAGGCTCTGCTTCCAGACGGCTCCAGCAGCGGCCTGGCTTGGGGGCGGGTGGGGGGGGGTGGCTTGTCCCAGGAAATGGAGCGGTCTGGGTCTTCACAAGTCCCCATGCTGGATCTGGATTCTTCCAGGGAGGAAGGTCAGGCATGCTGCAGGCCCCCAGGACCGTCCTCCCAGCCAGCTCTCGGGCCACAGCGGCCTGACACCCTCTGCTCTGCTGGGGGTGAGCCCCAGGGAGGAGCCCCGCCCTTCCCCCAGCGCCCTGTGGCTGCATTGGATGTGGGCTCAGCTCCCTGCATTGTCCCCGTGTGGGACAGACGGCCTGGGTGTCCGGGCAGCCCCAGTTTCAGAGAGGAGGTCCTGCCGGAGGGAGGTGACCCAGCAGGGACAGTGCGGAGATGCTGAGGTTTTCACAGACATTAAAGTATTTCTTCAACACCTGGATCTCCCTGGCAACCTGCCCAGGAGGACGCCGGATGAGTCCCTGCGGAAGCCCCAAGGTGCCGAGGGCCAGGCCTGGCTCCCGGGTGTGGCACCTGTGGTGGGTCCTGGGGCCTCAGGAGAACCCCTTGTTCGTGGTTCCCCCTGCTCCTCTGTGGCCTTGGCCTGACTGTCCACATGAAGGGTGTGGGGCAAGGCCAGGGACTCCTGACCCCCATCCCATACGCTCCCTTGCAAGGCTCAGCTTGGCCAGTGGGATTGGGGACCCTGCTGGTATGTTCCCTAGTCCCCACCTCCCTCAGCCCATCTGCTCCCCCCGGCCATGCACGTGCGGGTGGGGAGGGCAGGCCGGCCTGGGCTCTGGGCTGCTAGGCCAGGCAGGAAGGCTGGGTCATGTCCTGCCAGTCCTGCGATTGGTCTGTCCCTGGTCCAGGGCCACTCGGCGGGGGCAGTGCTGTCTTTGCAGTGGCGGCTCCGGGCATTAGGAGGATCTGCCCGGTCTGAAGCCAGGAGCATTGCTCCCCGTCTCCTGCGGACAGTGGGTGATGGGACCCGGCCCTCTGCCCCACCCGGGGCCTCCTGGAGACAGAGCTGGTGGGAGGCCCAAGTGCGGAGGAGGCGGTGCTGCCCTGAGCCCTGCCCGAGGAATCCCGGAGGAGAAGGAATTCGGCACCTGGGGTGGGGTGGGGGTGGGCAGCGCCTCCCAAAGGACCTCGGAGGGGACATCCGTGGCCTCAGGCAGTCGGAAGGGCCGGGCAGAGGTCAAAGCCCCGCGGTCCTGGGCGGGGACTCTGCGTGATGGGGGATGGGACAGGTCAGGTTTCAGGGCCGGCGACAGGGCAGGGCTTCTCTGGAGGCGGCCCCGAGAGCTCCTCCTACTCCCTGTCCGGCTGGGACTGCGACTCGCCTACCTGAGGGGTGGGTCACCTCCCAGATCCTTTCCCAGAGCCCGGCGGGGGCGAGGGGGCCACCAGGACAGGGCATGGGCGCGCAGCCGTGTTTGTGCAGGTGTGTGTGTGCCCGGCAGGAGCGGGGTGACCCACCTGCTGGCTCTCACCGCGGACCCCCTGCCTACAGCCGTCCTCGGGCTGGGTCGTGTTCAGCGAATGGAGCAGGGAGGGTTTGGACGGCCCTTAATGTCCTGACCTGCCGCCAGGACCCAGCCTTGGGTCCTCCTCCGTCTGCAGAGTGGCTGACGCCTCCTCTACCCCCAGCACGCAGGAAGAATGCTCAGCCGGGGGGGAGAGAACCCGGGATGCTTGGGGTGCTGGGTCCCCCGGGGGAGGGCAGAGCCGTCCAGCGCAGGACTGACACAGCGCAGGAGGCACAGGGCCCGGCTGCTTCCGTCTGGAGGAGCCCAGGCAGGTGGACGGTGAAGAGAGGAAAGCCAGGGCTTCCCCCAGCACCAGTGCCCACTCGATACCCCCTGAGGGCCTCTGCTCAGCCTGGGGTCCCTTACTGGAGACAGAGCAGACCAGCCTGGACCCTGGCCCTTCCCAGGCAGAGCCTGCCTGCTCTGACTTCTTCCAGCAGAGCTGGTCTTAAGGCCTTAAAGGATTCCTCCACCCCCCTTCATCCCCCCACCACCCCCAGACACCAGGGCATCCTGGGGAGAACCCACACCTGCTGGGTTGGGCAGGGGTCTCCAGAGACCTCTAGCCCAGCCCCTCCCCACAGCCAGCCGCACAGCCCCGTTTGTTGCAGGCGGGGAAACCGGCCCCAAGAGCCTCTGCCCGCTGTGGGGTGGACAGCCATCAGGGCTTCCTAGGGCGTCCGCCAACCCGGGAGGGAACAGACACCACGCTGCCCCAGACCACCCACTTGCTGCTAGGACCACTCCAGAACATTCTGGAGCCTTTCTGCAGGGAGGACCCACTTCCCTCGAGGGCCTGGGTGGCTGGCGGGCCCAGGCCCTAAAGACATCTGGTGCCTCCCGGTGCCCACAGTGGCACCCCAGCAGTGCCTGGGGCTCCCCATGCCCACGCCACGACGAGAGCCCCCAGACCCACTGACCCTTGCCCCTTAGGCGTGCAGGTCGGCGTCTCCATCCAGACCTTCAGGGACCCTGGGTGTCCATGACCTCTGCACACTGCATCGTCACCCTTGGTTACTGCCACCTGTCCTGTCAACCCTGGCCAGTGTTAGACACCCCTACCCCCTTCCCCCAGCCGTCACCTGTCAGCCCCTCGCAGGGCGCGCTCGGGCCTGGGGTCACACCAGATCGGGGGCCCTCCACCCCTGGCAGGGTTCAAGGCTCTGTGTGTCCTTCTGCCTGATAAACCGCGGGCACAAATGGGTCTTGCTGCCGTGTTGAAGGATGTCATACCCGTGCGGTTTCCTGGTTGGTCACGGCCTCTGCTGAAGCTCTGTCACCCATCCTGGGCTCTACGCGCTTCCTGGGATGGCCACGCCTTCCACCCCGCTCACGCCTAGTCCTGCTCGTTCGTCTGCGGGCCCTTCTGCGTCCCGGGCCCCCGGGCAGGGTTCTCTTCCCCACAGCCTCCCATCCTAGTTTCTAGCTCTCACCCAGTGGGGCTTGGGAAGCACTGCTGGGAGGGACGGGGTTGGGGGGGGGGGGACACATGCTGGCGTCCAGTTCCACCCCCGCCCCGGGAAGCTGTTCGCTCTTTCCACAGCGTTTACAGGGCCCTACCCAGGCCCCCATCCATCCCCGGGGCGGGGGGGGGTCCAGCACAGAGCAAGCGGGGCCCCAGCTCCTAGACAGCCGTTCAGTGCAGCGGGTCCCCATGTGTGACGGTGACGCCTACACACACAGACGTGAGTTCTGTTCGCGGCATAGCACGAACACACGGCTGTGGCGTGACTGTGTCCCCGTGTGCTAAAGCTTACTAGACCTCTCGTGGCTCGTGGCCTGTCTGCCTGACTTATTTATTGGGTTTTTAAGAACACATCAGCCTCCCCAGCTGGCACGGTTTCTTTCCAGCTGCTCCAGCCTCGGTTCTGGGAATTCCGAGCCTCCACCGTCCCGAGCTGACGTCCGCACGTGGGTTCCCAGGTTTTCCCTGAAGCACCGGAGCTCGTAGCCCAGCTCTCTTCTCATTTACTTAGTATGCGTCTACGTCCAGCCTTCTGGGGCATCTTTCACCATTAAAATACCGTCGAGCAGGGTCTAAGACCACCCTGGGACCTGGGTTCTGACCGTCCCTTGTCCCCATGCATGGGCTTTGCAGATCTACGTTCTCACCCTACTGGTCCTCCCTCCCACCTTCCGCCCCGGGGGCGAGGACAGGCCCTCCAGGGGCTGAAAGGCTGCCCAGCCCCCCAGCATTCCTGCAGGGAGCAGGCCTGTCGGACTGGGAGGCGAATGCACTCAGGGGCCCGCACCCGGGGTCTGTCACATCCCTCCCCAGCAGGTAGGGACCCAGCACGCTCTCCCCGCCCTTGCTCCCGAGCCTCTGTGGTCAGTCACGGTGAATGTTTCATTCTCCTTTGCCACCAGCGGACGTGTTTCTCGCCGTCCCTGCTGGCAAGCGTCCTCCGGCCAGGGTTTCAGCTCTGGCTCCCGAGGTCAGCCCCCGGGAGTAACCCTGGCTTTGTTTCTCAGACACTCGAACAGCACACACTTTGGAGTTCCAAAAATTTTTCTTTGGTGCTTTGAGAACAGAATGTCACTGTCGTGGTTTCCAGAGTTTCAAGTCTGACATGCAGGTTTCCGTTCTTTCTTGGGCCTTTTAGGACCCCTCCTTGCTGGTCATTTCCTTAAAGTTCCTTACACTGTGGCTTTCTTACTCCAGTTCTGCCACATTCAGTGCTTCTGTCTGAGATCACTCCTCCTGTGTTTGCTTCCCATACGTGTTTCTCTTCTTGCCCTAAGCCTCACTAGAGGCTAACACCTCCCCTCCCCCGCTTCCATTAACCTTCCTCTCTGGCATCCTCTTCCTCCCAGCCTCCCTGCCGCCTCCCAGCAGAGCACCCAGATGGCAGAACCCGCTGTCCAGCCCCCAGGCCGCCCTCCCCACTGCTCCTCCCAGAATGGCTTCTCCAGCCTGGTCACCAGCCTGGCACCCTGTCCCCTCTGGGAGCATTCATTCCACTTACTGGAAAGCCTGGACACAGCCCACTGACATTTTCATGGACGGGCAGTTCCCTCGTTGGTTAAGGAGACTGACCGGCTGCTAGAACCTCCTCATTTTGCTCCACCAGACCCTCTGCCTTGAGGATAACCGCCAGCTGGGCTGGTGCTGGGGGGGACGCAGGGGCTACAGCTCAGACCCTAAGTGCCCGGTGGGGCCATCTGGGTCCAACCCAGTCCACTGGCCACCCGCCCCCAGGATGCTCGTCACCCCCTCCGCTGTACCGTCCCTGAAGACATATCGTCACCCCTGCCCTCGGGCCAGCCTCCTCCCCGCGGGGCCACGCTCCCACACACAGACCAGCTCCCGCGTGCCCCCCAAGAGCACCAGAAACCTGGACAGACCCCAGCTCTCCTTATGTCCACCCCACCCCCGGGGAGGGGCAGGGACCAGATGGGGCGGGGGGGGGGCTGTGGT